ATTCGCATACGAGTGATTTATATCGGAGAGCCATTTCGTTACCTTAATGCAATAGCGTTGCATTAATATTGTTATTGTGTTATAATAGTAAACCGTTGATTTGCATTAGTGTTTTTTTGCTCTCCAGTTTTGAAAAATTACTGTTAGTCCATCGTCTACAATAATAATAATTATCACGCTCTCAAACGCGTCCCCTTCCTAATATTGCGTGGATAGCACATGTCTAGTTCGTGTGTTAAGAGCCCATTTTGATGATGTACTCGCACATGAGCACCTCACTTAGGTCTTTAATAAAGACTCGTTATCCATTGTACGATATCCAATTTACTTATTGTTCTTCACCATAATACGTACTTGTACTTTATTTGGTTTGTAATTTATAAAAATACAATTCGCTAGTGACGTGATATGTCACCAGTCTATTAGTTTTACAACTTTACATTTTATGTAAAATACGATCGACAGTTCGTTTTTAAACATATTTTTCCGTTATTTTTAATATTTTTTTGTGATCATAAGGTACAATTACAAATGTTCGATAAAAATTAACGACTATAACATTTAAACTGTACGAAAAAGATACTAATAAAAATCGTCTACAGTAATATTAAACACTAATCATAAAACTTTAAAATTGTATTTTTAGATGTTCTAAAATACTATTAAATTTACTGTAGTTAATCTAAAATATTTTAAGAGAAAAGTAAACTATTTTGGTAGATTTTTTAGCTCGAGGAGCCCAGAAATTTAATTTTTGCACTAGGTAAATATGTTTTTTCTAAACATAATGTTATGTATATGTATATTTGAATTAAATCAGAACAGGTTTAAAGAAATAGTAATTGGATTATAAAGAAATAGAAATTATGATTTTAAACTACTATGATACAATAATAGTTTATTTACTATGGAAATTTGAGTCTCTAAACATTTAATTATTATGCTTTAGTACAATTTAAAGAGTAATTTTTAGTGTTTTTATTTTTATAAAATATAACAATGCTACAAAAAAAAGCATATTTAGCAGATTTATACATTTTATAAAAAAGGTATGTAAAAGGAAGAATAAAAAAGTGTAGCTGATATCAAGACTACGAATGAAAACGTTGCTGCGAGTGGAGACTCGTTATATCCGGTAGTGCCATCGAAGGGTATTGCCAAAGAAAGGACAAATGGTTTGTAGTTATGAAAAATTATAATAATTATAATTACTTATTTTTCAGTTAATTGTGATATTATTTTGCTGCCGTAATCATTATTCTATAATACGTTAAAAGTTTAAATGCCATTTATTATTAAAATAAAACCTCAAACATTTCAAAAAATATGTTCTCATTTGAAAAAAAAACAATGTATAAGGAACGAACTGTAGTAATTAGATGAGGAAGTATTGAATTACGTCGATTTTAGTATAATATAAGCTTTACAATAGTAGTAAGCAATTTTTGAACTCTTAAGCAATTTAATAATTCCATATAAAAGGGAAATGCAGGGTAAGCAAATTAATAATGGTGGGAAAAAGAATATAAAAGGGAAACATGAAAAGTATAGGGGGACGATACTGGGCGAGACGAGACTGGACGTTTTGTCGAAGAAACGTCGAGTTACAGGTTAGGTCGTTGGTGTAAGAATAACTTTATATTTTTGTAAGATTTAATTAATTTTTGTGTTAAATTTTTATATTATATTTGACTTTGTGTTTAATACATTTCGTAAATAAAAATAACTATTTAAAAATCTTGACTTAGCGCAAATATTTTATTTTCACGGTGATTTCGAAATTGTGTGTGTGTGTGTGTGTGTGTGTGTGTGCGGCTAGAGTCTAGGTTGGGCTGCTGGTTCTTTAGTCAATCTTAATAATTAGTGTACGAGCTGGCTAGTTTTTGGGCTTAACCGCCTTCAGTGGGTATAGTAAAAAGGTAGTTGTGCTGGTGGCTGACAAGGAGCCACCCTTCAGTCTGCTACTTTTGAGCTAGACTGTGGCTGACGGGACTAAACTCTACCCCTTTAGTAGTCCACTAATTAGAGGGATTGGGGCTGATCAGTTTATCCAACGGGAGGACTCAAGAAGAGCTCGAACGACGAACTCGTCGTCAATATATATATATATATAAAACATTAATAAATTTGTGTTAAACTTTTGTGTCTACGTTGGGGCACTACCGACGTACGACAGAACTTAAAAAGTTTTAAATAGCTAATAGTTCAAGAATGATATGTGACTAATGGTTACTAAAAATAAAAATATTCAATTTATATTTATTCTATAAATAATTAAGCGAGTTCCCTATTTTTGAATAAAAAAAACCCGATGGTGGGAGAAAACACATGATTAAAAAAATAACCAAGTTAAAGGTATTTACTATGATAGTAAACAAAAATCTTTTTTGCGTAAATATGATCAATATTCTCGTTTATCTAAACCTTAAATGATTTTTTCTAGTTTTAAGGTATCTGTTAGTTAAATGGGGGTCTTTTTTTCAATTGGTAAATTTGTCTGAATATATCATGAAGTATTTCTAACAAAATTTTGCAATGAATATTTTCTTTACAAAATTTTAAAAAAACCTTATGATATCAACTTGCCCTACATTTTTCTGAATGCGTGTAAATAATAAATAAAATAATTTATGCATTGACACATACGTACATGTGTTTATTCTAGAATTTACATTAAATTCATTTAGTAAAATAAATTTAGATTTCAAATTATTATTCATATAATTTATGTTTTAGGAATGCTTTACAAGTAATATTTTTAAATGGTTTTAAATAACCTCGGTCAAAAATATTTTTTAGAATGAGTCCATATTAAAAATACATTAAATATTGAAAAACAGTTTAAGTCTTAACTTTTTTCAATATTTATAATGTAACATTGTCAAGTATATTAATTTAATAGTTAAAATGTAAAATTTTTATAATTATTAAATAATTTTATTTATTATATTTTATTCATAACAATTGTGGCTTTTAAAAAAAATTCCGTTAAAAAAAAAAATGTTTATTTTATTTAATAACATACTATTATATACTACGTACTATTTAATTATACAGGCTAATAAAACTTGCTAGGATTAATAATTTCACATTTCTAATTGTCATAATTAAATAATAATCATGGTTTTGGATAGGTTTTTTTGTTTATAAGGTACATTGTATTAGCTTTTATTTGGTGTCGGTTTAAACCGCCCGATTTTTATAATATTATCAAACATTCTTTGATATTGTCAAGCTTTACTATACCTTACATATTGATTAGATTTTCAAAAAATGTATGTCTCTGGTATAGTAAAAGATTGATTATGAATAAAAATTTCAAAAAGTATTTTCATTATAAAATGTAAACTAAAAATATAACATCGACTGTTTTATTACAGCAGTATTTTTTTGGGACTTTTCTTGTGGTTCTAAAAGGATTTTTCAAATCTAAGAACTGATAACTTCAATTAGATCCGTTTTTTATCTTTTGACGAATCATTGAGAAAAATCGATCCAATTGGATACAGGTCGGATATGTTGGCGTTCTAGACAAAAAAAAAAAAAAATCGGCCAAGTAAATGGTTTTAATAACCATTAAAAATATATCAATGTGTAATTATCCTTCTAATTGAAGCCTATTTGATCATCAATGGTAATATCATTACAATAAAACGAAATAATCGTATTAAATGCCAAAGATTTGGTTTTATAGAACTATAAAAATAATTTTTATATGATTGAATTTTATTTATCAGTGCGATTCTGTTATTATTATTTTAACCTGTTTTAGTTCTGTATTTTTTTATTTAAATTATGAAATATTCTATAGTTTTATTTTTTTAATTTTGATGGTTTTACCTTTTAAAGTTAAAAAAGATTATCCCTTCAGGGATAAAAATATTTATTTATAATTTTTTTTAATGAGAACCACTATTTTTGATTTGATAATATGATAGAAAAAAAAATTACAAACAATTTTTTTCTCATAATTTTTTTTATACAAACAACCGTTTACGTTTTATACTTGTTTAAAGATTTTGACTTCCAGAAAAAATATACGTTTCATAATATCGGTGGCAGTGCAACCGGTATTTTTGTTAGATCCTTTAATCTTACAAAATCATAGACTTAGCTATTAATAATACACCGAAAACCTGGTTTGAATCTATTATTGTTATCCCTCATTTAGTGCGTAGTAAATTTATATAGCTAATTTACCTGTCATAACTTGATCAATAAAATTTGGTTTATGCAACAGCAAATAAAAATAATGACTTCTGTATTTAATATAGTAAAATTACAAAAAAAATTTGGCCTAAAATCACTTAACATTAACAAGCTGTAACAGACTAACGGTTAATTGGATAATAAAAATTATCAGAACAAAATTGTTTGTAATTTTTTTTCAACCATATTATAAAATTAAAAATAAGGGTTCCCATATTAGAAAATTATAAATCAGGGTTTTTATCCTTGAAGGGACGAAAAAAATAATGGTTGACTACATATTATTGTAGAGTTTTTTAACCTTGATATTTTTTCTATATAATAAAATTTAAAATTCTCAATATTTTCTGAGAAAATGAGTGTCTTACCAGATTTTGATCAATATGTATAAATTATATGATATTTTTTTAAATACATATTTTTAAACTGAATAAATAAAATTACAATTTAATAGCTTTAATATAAAATTTTTATTTTGAGAAAACGATTAGGAAGGCGAAAACATACCTTTTATATTTAACGCATAATATTAGGATTTAATATTAGATTTTTTTTAAAATTTATATCGATCCTTAAGATATTAATGTATCTAATTAGAAATAAATTTAAGAATAAAAAAATTTTAAATCATAGTTTTGTGAACCTTGTTGTTTATAATAAATAATATTAGCTTTCCACTTACTAAACAAAGAGAGTTATTGTAGGTTTACAAGAAAATAAAGTAAACTACAAATTTTAAATTGTAAAAATAAAAATAATAAACGTTGAACTATTTATTTTATTTATATTTAATATCTTAAACCTTTTTGTTACATATGAAACGAAAATATCCAAAATACTTCCGCATATAAAATATTAAAACAAAAATAACGTTTGAATCTGTTAAAGTACAAATAAGCGTGTATATTAATTTTATATATTAATTAAAGAACCTTGCGTGTTTGGCTTTAAAGTTAAATAACTCATAGAATAAATACTGTCGGATTAGGTTGGGTTTTTAGATTCTTCATCATAAAGTACTTTTAAAAATATTTAATATTATATAGGTTTCACGTTGTGAGACATATTATATTATATTCAAAAATTGAAATTAAAGTAATTATTTGTAAATATTTCGAATTTTTATCTTTGGTGCGTAACTAAAAGCTATTTACTTAGCCGAATTTTTTTTTTGTCTAGAACGCCAATACTTCCGACCTATTGATTCAATTGGTCAATCTAATTAAATAGATATTTCAATCAATTAATTGATTAAATTAGTAAAGCTGTAATATTATGAGCAGACAAAATAATACAATGTTAATTTAATATTCAGTATCAAACATACTTTTATATGTTTGTCCTTGTCTCTTAATCAAGTTTTCATATTGATTATTTTTTAATGTAATTATTTCAAATTAATTTCAAAAAGGTTGTAATTTTGTACAAATTAGTAAAGTATAAAGTATAAATATACAAGTAGGAACTTGTACATTTAAGAAACAAAAATATTTAGAAACGAATCAAATTAATATTATTTAAAGATAAAACCAGAATAGATTTATTAATTGTCTTATAAATTTACACACAATTTATCTTTGCATTCTCTTCTACAAATTGTACAATTTTTATTATCAATGCATTTACTGCAATACCAACCATCACCACATGGCATCATTACGTGTTTGCTTGGAGGATGCACATCTTTTATTTGATTGCGGCAGCTTATACAACGTGCTTCTCGTCCGTCTAAAAAACATCTTGGCTGTAAGTCCAACAAATCTAATTGCAAATATTGAAAATTAATATTTTACTTTTCACTCAAGGATGTTAAGTACTAAGGAAAAAACAAACTACACGCACTAAAACAGTATTAAATATATATATTTTGCATTACTTGACTTTTATTTAAAGTCTTTAGTTACTCGGTTTATATATAAATAACACTTAGTTTAGAACAAAATTGAACTATAAAATATAATAAAGAATCATGGACGTCATAAAACAGTTTAATATGCACATGTAAACACTATGACAAAACTAATTTCACGTTTACTATCTTTTATTTTTTAATTTTATTGGAAATAGAAGTTAGCATGTTCTTTTTATTATTATTTTTTTAATGCATTTTCTTCTTGCACACTTAGATAGTTTAGACCAAAAAACAATAGATATAGAACTACCTTACCAAAAGTTATAGGATGAAGAAATTATTGATGAATATTGTTGGTTACTTATAAGAGAATAAATGAAACTCACAAAAGAAATATTAAGACCGATGCGTTCCATTTTTTGTTGAATAAAATTGATTCTTTGATAATTATATATTTAAATATAATATATAGCAACTAATATTCAAAGACATTATCTTTTTATTTTGTCTACCGTACCAATCAGGTCACAACAATATATTAAATTAGTGGCGTCGCCTAAGTTGTGATAAAAATGTTTCCCCCCAACTACAATTGACAACATGTGACTTTAATTCTAGTAAAAGTATATGATAAGCAAAAAAAAAGTATTTAGACACATCAAGCTAAAAATCCAAACATATTTATTTTTTTCATTAGTCGTTTATTATTTTCCTTTAATTACCATTAATTTGTAATATCACGTAGTACTAGTACATAGTTTCAATAATTTATACTGAAATATTTAATTACTACAGTTACTTAATATTTAAATAATATAAATCAGTACGTAAGACAGTATAAAGAGACGCTAATTATAGTTAATTCATTAATGTTTCAATAAATAACTATAATTTATATACCTTTTTCAACTATTGACACAGGTGTTTCTATATAAATAGCTTGAGTACCTGTAATCTGTTGATGACATACAGGACACTGTTCCTTAAGTACATTACAATATCCACAACTCCAACCATGTCCACATGGTAAAAAAATGTGAATATTACTGATTGTACCACTATGGTGATACGTATTCCCCAAACAAGAGGTTTCATCTGCAGCAAAATAAATAAATAAATTATTAAAGACTTTTATTGATATGAATTTCTACTAATTTTAAATTTCAGTTTATAGTTCAAAAGCATTTCAAGTATATTTTTATGCTTTTAACACTCATAAAAAACACCAGCGAATAATATTGAAAATAAGTTTCTTAAACATGTATAGTAACTATACATTTTATATTCAAATTACACTATAAGTACATTTGGATAATAACTGTTATTAACCGAATATACTTTAAATATAGTATAAAATGAATTTTTCTAAATCTATATTGAATAAATTAGCTTTTAGTTCCATTATCTTGGAATTGAAAAACAAATTTTTACAGAAAAATATTTCATAAATTATTTAATTAATTTTTTTTTTCATAAAAAATAATGTTATGTTATAAAACGTTTTAAAAAAAAACTTCCTTCTTACATTTATATCCAGTTATAAATTTGTAAGAATCTGACCCTTTAGTCAACAACTCCTCAATAATTTTATTATTATATCTTTGTATTGATATTAAATTTTCTTCAGACATATTATTCATTGATTTTTCAGGAGGTTCTGTTAAAAAGTGTACTTTATTTTTCATTAAATTCTTGCAGCTTAGTAGATCACTCATGTACTTTTCGTCTACATTATTGAATTCGTAATTCTTATATTTATATTCGTGTTCTTTGTAAACATTTAAAATACATTCATATGGTTCAGGAGAAATCCATTCTTTATTAAATATTGGTACAATTATAGAATGAAGATTTTCACTAAATTTATCTAAGTATAATGAAATATTAGCACCTATTTTATTCATTTCTATTGCAAATTCGCAGAACTGATACATATATGTAAAGCCCAGACTTTCAATAGCATTCACAATGATCGCATAGCCCAAAGTATATCTTCCATATTCCACACAATCATCAATCACTCTCGTCAAACTTCTATCTATTATTTCAATACCGTCATAAGGAACTCTTTCACAATTTACTACCTGACTGAAATGTACTGGACAATACTTTAGCTTATTTTTTGAAACTATATAATAAGGATGATTTTTTAACATGACACGCATAATATTTGAATATTCACCTTGAAGAGATTGAACAACCTGAGGTGTGATATTATTTAGATCAACACAAATGGATTGATTAATTGTGTGAATAAAAAAAAGTATTAAATTCACTTTATTGAGTAACATGTTACTATTTTAAGAGAATTTTCTATAATTCTTAAATTTCAAAATACTTTATCGACTAAAATTAAACACTTTTGAAATAAATTATATAGTAACTAAATATTTTTGAATTACAAAAATTACTTTAACATGAATTTTTATAAGTAGTAGTCACAAGTATATTTTGAATACCCGATTAAAAATAAACTTTTATTTTGTATTTGAATAATATATGAACAATTATAATTTATTAATTATTTATACATGCAAAAATACGTATTTTTTTATTTAAAATAATTGATAGAAAATAGCAAATGTTCATTTAAAATAAATAACTATATATTACTTATAAATCTAATTTGACAGAATTTATTTTGAATTATCTGTTTTATATTATTACTCTTTTTTATTAAAATTATTTTCAATGTCTTGTAAGATTAACTACTCTTGTCAGAATGTCTTTTTTCATATCATATAATACTTTTTTACTTATAACTTAACATTGGCAAGCATATTAATTTATTGGTTAATATGTACAATTTTACAATTTTTAAATAATTTTATTTATAAAAAAAAACCTAGCACAATGTGGTCGAGACATAGTGGAGACGTTCCATAGTTGGGTCCAGTGTACATTTAATCTGGCAGTGATATCAAAATCACTATCATAAGAAAAGCAAAATCAACTTCTATTTCCTTAATTATACCCTGATTAGTAATTCTTTTAATTATATATTATATAATTTTTAAAATTAATTGTTTTCAAATTATTATTGATTTTGATTTTTAATATATAAAAAGTAATTATTTTAAACCTACTTTTTTTGTCCTTTAAAGTGAAAGTAATAATAAAAAAAAATGAATTAATTCCCATAACTTTTAGCTAAACTTGCAAGTTTGAAATTGACATTATTAAATAGAAAAAAATTAAATTGTTAAGATTAATATGGAATCAAGAAATTTTATAATTACTATTTACAGTACTCTTATCAGAAAAGTTCAATTGTTTTACATTTTTATCGTAATATATTTATCTTAATAATTAATTTTAATGATTATACACCTAAAAAAAAAAAAAGTTGTTAAAGCGATTTACTCAATTGAGTGTATTATAAAATTTGATTATAATTGTTAAAGTCCATCATTAAATTCAGGTGAAACTAAAAATAATTTTTTTTTTTAAATTAATGATTTATATAGCATCATGTTACAAAAAAATTATAGACTGGTAGTAGCACACACAAATGGAGTTAAAAATTAATAAATTACAAAGTAAAATGATTTACTTTTGTAGTTGAATACTTTTATCATATCAAATCTAATTCCACAATAAATATTTTAAGAATATTAGAAATTAATGATTTTAATTGTTTGTATGGAAAAAGCTGGTTTAGCTACTTATTTTTTGAATACGGAATATTTTTTCGATTTTTAAGAGTAATAACTTAAACTAATCATTAACTTAAATATCATGAACTTAAATGAATCATTTGACGTATCGTTGAAAAAACTAGGTCTAGTGAGGGTTGGCAAAATAAATCGTAGCCACAAAAAGAACCACATAGTAAAATAATATTAACATGAATATAAATGTTTTCTCACGAGGGGAAACTATAGTGATAGGATCCTTTATATTCATTGAAGTTATTGAATCTAAATGAGATAAATATCAAATGATTTGAAAATTTTATTCTAACTCAAAAAAAAATGCAAAATATTGCCGTAACACAGTAAAATAAATAGTTGGAGGGTGTAAATGTGTAATGTGTGTACGAAGATAAAGATGAGGATGTGGTGCCTGCTGTCTAGGTATTCATGTGCGTGTTGTCGACAGCAGTCACCGTGCTCGGCCGACACTTCGGGTTAGCTGTGGGTGTCGAAAGGCTGTTGTTATAGGGAGGGAATAAGGGTAACACCTAGGTATGAGGTGCAGACGAAGTGCAAGACACAAGTACTCTGAAATGTTGTGGAACAGAGTAGATAGGTTTAAAAAGGAATAAACAAAGACTTTACTTTAAACAGTAAGCCGGACAGCGACAACCGAGTACTGAGACTGATGAATGACACAAGGCACTGAAGTCGACTGATGACGATGGTCAGGTCTATTGGGTTTTTATAATAATTAGAACTATTGCCGACTTGGCAATAAATATTATTTGTTAATTCATCAGTCTCAGGCAGCGGATGTGCTGTCTGTATTTTATTAAAATAATTCTCACGATTATGAAAACGTGACACCATCAAACTATTAAAAGCCACAGACGGATTTGAACTTCGTACCCTAAGGGTGAAAGACAGGTTTTTCCCATTCGGCAACTGTTCGTTGCTTTTGTCGCATGATAAAATTGTCTATTTAAGCTAACTCAAATTAAAAAATTACTTTTTCGAAAAGTAAAAAAATTTTAATAAGTTTAATTTCGTATGTCTTATGAACTTTATTCTATGTCAATTACATTATATAATATTCATGAAAGTCTAATATATTCTCCTAATAAGATATTTTAAAATAAAATAAAATACAAAACCTAGAATTTTAATAGAAAAATAGCATATTTTTGAATACGGTAGTCATTTGCGCACAGAAGATAGGTCGTCGGGGCAAATTTTTTTTTTTAATTTTATAGTACATGACATAAGGTTTAATTTGACATATGTTTAAAGGACGCAGTATTTCCGGAACTTTTTCAAAAGTCAAATTAAAAAAGTTAGTTTTTGTAAAAAAGTTGCTATTTTAAATCCCTCTGTGAGCAGACTAAGTGTTAAATTTTCCAAAAAAAATGATATCAAATGAAAGAAAAATATCTAAGGTTTCAATATAAAAAAATATTATTTTGATTTGTTGATATTTGAAAAAGTTATGTGAGTTTTAAGTACAAAAAACATTCCGATAGAAGGTGATTTTTATCGCAAACATTACATTTTTTTTATAATTTCGACAGCCATTTGTACATAGAAGATAAGGTGTCGGGACAAATTTTTTTTTTCATTTTGTAGTACATAAAATAACCTTTAATTTGATATATGTTTAAAGAACGAAGTATTTTTGGAACATTTTTAAAAATTAAGTTGAAAAAGTTAGTTTTTGTAAAAAAGTTGCTATTTTAAATCCCCCCCATGAGCAGGTTAAGTGTTAGATTTTCAAAAAAATGATATCAAATGAAAGGTAAATATCTAAGGTTTTAGTATAAAAAAAAATTATGTTGATTTGTTTATTTTTCAAAAAGTTATGGAAGTTTTAAGAAAAAAAAGTGAAAAAAATGACAAGATTTACCGATTTTTTAATTTTTTGGATATTTCCCCCATTTGAGGGGAACGAGGGGAAATTTTTCAATTTTTAAGGATAATGTCTTCAACTAGATACGATTTGTGATCTTTTGACGTATTGTTGAAAAAAATCGGTACAGTGAGAGCTGAGAAAAAGTGGCAACAGACATAAAAAAAAATACACATCATGGCAAAATTAATACCTTCTCAGCTTCGCATCGAAGATAAAATAAATAAATAATAATAAAAAAAAAACACATGATAATAAAATTAATACCTTCTCAGCTTCGTATCGAAGCTAATAAATAACTATATTATTTATAAATCTATTTTGAACAGTTTATTCTGATTTAACTGTTTATATGAAAATTCCTAAATCATAAATAAAATAAATTTTTAACAATATATTTTGTAACAGTTATTTGATTAACTATAATTTAACATGTGTTATTGTTTTAATATTACATTTAAAAAATATATTATATGAATTATATCGGTTCACAATGAAAAATTAATTTCAAAAAAGTTGAAATTTTGTACAAATTAGTAAAGTATAAATACTATAAAGTATAAAGTATAAATATACAAGTAAGAACTCGTATATTTAAGGAACAAAAATATTTAGAAACGAATTAAAATAATATTATTTAAAGATAAAACCAGAATAGATTTACTCATTGTCTTATAACTTTACACACAATTTATCTTTGCATTCCCTTTTACATTTTGTACAACTTGTATTATCAATGCATTTACTGCAATACCAACCATGACCACATGGTATCATTACGTGTTTGCTTGGAGGATGCACATATTTTATTTGATTGCGGCAGCTTATACAACGTGCTTTTCGTCCGTCTAAGACACATCTTGGCTGTAAAGTCACCAAACCTAATTGCAAATGTGGAAAATTAATATTTTTTCTAACACAAGATTTAACGGAGTGAGCAATTACGTTACTTTTCACTCAAGGATGTTAAGTACTAAGGAAAAAACAAACTACACGCACTAAAACAGTATTAAATATATATATTTTGCATTACTTGACTTTTATTTAAAGTCTTTAGTTACTCGGTTTATATATAAATAACACTTAGTTTAGAACAAAATTGAACTATAAAATATAATAAAGAATCATGGACGTCATAAAACAGTTTAATATGCACATGTAAACACTATGACAAAACTAATTTCACGTTTACTATCTTTTATTTTTTAATTTTATTGGAAATAGAAGTTAGCATGTTCTTTTTATTATTATTTTTTTAATGCATTTTCTTCTTGCACACTTAGATAGTTTAGACCAAAAAACAATAGATATAGAACTACCTTACCAAAAGTTATGGGATGAAGAAATTAT